TTGAAAATATTAAAATACCCCAAAATATAATATATTTTGAAAAGTTTATTCAAAAAGATTTTTATTGGAGGTCCTGGGGAAGTCAGATAGGGACTGAAACGTTGAATTGACTCATTTTACCACAAAGTGTTGTGATGAACCTAATTGGATAATAAATAAATATCTTTAACTAGAAAAACACTGTAAGTGCTACCGTATTTTATGATATAGATAAATATATGTGTATATATATATATATATATATATATATATATATATATATAAAGTCTGGAACTCTGCCTAAATATTTGATCAAAAAGATGTATATTAAATACCACAGTGCTGATCAGCGCTGGATATATAATGAATAAACCAAGATCTTTATAAATTTGCTATAACTATATGAATCTCAGTATATGTATGTAATTTCTTCGAACAAAAAGGAGGTCACGGGTGATGCAGAAGGAGGCCCAAACATTCAGTTTTATTGTTCAGGCCAGGTGCTTTGCAACCTAGATATTCCTCTGCAACTGAACACTATTTTCATAACCACATGCGGAAGTTACAGACGACTGAGTATTTTAAAAGGATAACTATTCTTGTACAAGAATTCAAAATTTTTATAAAAAATATGGTAATTAAGGGAATATTAGTCAATATTTTCTGTTTTACCCAGTTTCCATATCAGTCGATATTTATGAAAAGTTATACATTTGCATTTGATTGAAATACAATTAATTTAGCCCTCTGTGAAATGATGTGAATGTTTTCAGGGGAACAAACCATGTTTTGCTCTTTGCCTCTGTACCTTTATTAGCACTAACATAAAACTGATCATTTTAAAATTACATATTTTATATCAACCGTTACAACTCAAAGATAGCACTCTTGAATATAGTTGCCAAAGATGATATACAGTGAAAGCATGTAGAAAGATATTGAAAATGACAGATATAGTGGGTGAATCGCCCATCAGAGGTTCTCACTATAGTACTTTCACATCAATATTTAAATAATGCAAGATGTAGTTTAGCGTTTGATTATGAATTAACAAAACTGAATCTTTACTTTCTTCTTTGTTTAATGTTTTACAAAGTTTGATGTAAAACTTTCCAAGACTTGCATCAAGTGTGATAAAAAGATATATTTGTAAATTTAAAACTGTGAGGTCATAAGGCCCTTTACTACCAATACCAACAATGCATACAAGATTTTAAAGGTACTTCTAAAACATGTTCCCTTTGCATAGATTTTGCTTTCAGAAGAAATAAAACACATAGATCAGCTTTGAGAGCGTGTATGTTAGATTGGGCCCTAAGACCACTCAAGATGTTAACCATGATGTGGTTGATAGTGTCTGTATGTTTGATGTCTAACAGATGCACATTGATGGAAAACATCATAAAAACATACAAATCTCAAATTCTGCGATAGCAAGGACATGTGCTTTATGCAACTTGTAAAAGTGTGTGGCGGGACTGTATTTTTTGCATGTACTCCACCTTTTTGCAAAAGATGCAATTTTTTACTAATCAAAGCAGTATTTCTCATGGGTACAAATAAGTTATATAAAATCTATGTAAATGTAATTTTTCATCCAAAAAAAACAAGTACTGAATTTGTTGGAGAGAATGGAGGTAGATGCTTAAATCAAGATTGTAAACTGAGGGATGACTAATCCAACCATTGTAACTGATAATGGTCAGCTTGGGATACTGATTCAACATTCTTTGAATATGGTCTAAGCGTTGGCACGTTAGAATTGTTTTTATGTCTACTTGGTCCTCCTGTTCCACCCCTTTAAAAAGCTCTGGGTATGATTTTCACGCTTTGTAATTGCCACCCCCAAGTCCTCATACAAGGCATTTAAAAAATAAAGTATTTGTGTCAGAAAGCATTTTTGTGGTTCCATTCAGGTTCTGCCCAAGTATTTTTTCTCTGACATCAGCGCTACACAGAGCGCCCATTGGATGCAATTCAAATCCTGGGAGCAGAGGGGAATGCTGGGAAAATGGCGATCCCTCCCATTAAGCCATTCATATTGCTCCCCTAGCACTGTTTGCTTGCCTGGTTCAGTGATCCTGCAGGAAGCTGCAGCCATGTTTTGGCCAGTGGTTTCTGTTTTCTCCTCGTGCTGGCTTCCCTACCATTACAGGGGGATTGAAAAATAGATAAAGATTTTACCTTTTCAATAACTATTGTTTTTTTTAAAATGTGCTGTTAACAATTCTAATATGTTTGCAAACATATTTTATGTGTGTTTAAATAGTAAAACAGTTATGAGAAAAAGAAAGTACACCCTCTTTAAATGCAATTGTTTTACATATCATGACATAATAACAATCATCTGTTCCTTAGCAGGTCTTATACATAGGCAAATACAATCTCAGATGAACAACAACACATGCTATATTACACTGTGTCATGATTTATTTAACAAAAAAAAAGCCAAAATGGAGAAGCCATGTGTGAAAAAAATAGGTACACTTTATGAATCAATAACTTGTAGAACCTGACACGCAGCAGAAAATCCAAAAGCACACTGGAATTGTCAGAAATGAGTTGTCTGTGCAAGGTCTCTCCTTCATATCTTCTGGGAGTGTCCTCTCTTTGCACCTTACTGGATAAGGGCCATGAAACGCTCGTAGAGGTGGCTGATGAGGGGATGGCTTTGCACCAGCTGACATTCTTCCTAACAGGTTGCACTACCAGTGATGAAGTATAAGAAAACAGTCTATAGGCATCTACTCATTGCAGCTAAGTCATTGATCCTGGTGTTTTGGTGGTAGAAACAACCACTGTCGTTCCAGGACTGGCTCCATAGAGATGAGGAAATTCGAGGAGGGTATAGGAGCGAGGCTGGAAAAGCACAAAAGGTTTGGAGGACATGAGTATTTTACTTGAGCACATGAAATTAGCTGGATTACTGTTGCGTTGGTTGTGCTGACATGGAGTTATCTGGCATATGATCACAGCCTCTGGGGTGTGCAGAAAGTGGAAGTCGGGGATAGGCTCTCCTGCCTCATTCCTTCCCTCTCTCCTCCACCCCATTTTTTTCTCTATTTTTCTCCTTTATCTCTCCTTCCATACTTCTGTAAGTTTTCATCTTCTTCTCGTCTCTGATATGACCATTTCAAATAGATACTTCCAAACTCTTTCTATTTTTGAGCCTTTGGGTGCAGGATACCTTTGTAGCAGAGATGAATTAAGATTGGCCAGGCCCTAAACTGCATGCCAGATTGGGACCCCATCTTAGAGTCCTGGACACTCATGCAAACACTGCACTCACATATCCCCCTTCATAAAGGTTCATGTTCTCACACTCACTCATACAGAAACACTCACAGATCCACAATTACAAACACATATTAATAACACAGATACACACTACCACTCACATAGACACACTGCCACACATATATGCAAACATATATACAATACCACAAAAGAATTCAAATTTCCACACACATATACACAGCACATACAAGCAGGTACATATGGAAGCAAATATATACAAACACACACACACACACATATATATATATATATATATATATATATTTGTGTACGGGATAATAGTGGAATGTATGGTTGTAATTGAATGTAATTTGATAAGAACAAAGTCGGTTGAGGTGTGCCGAAACCAATGTAAGATTAGACCTGTAAAAAAGAGGGCAAAATTTATGAAAACCATTTTATTTATTTCACAAAACATTATTTAGACATTTCATGGAAAGCAAGTCTGATTTCCTTTTTTTGGGTTTGGAATGCCCCTGTTGTATGCAGAGGATTTCCAGCATCCCATATTCTTAATGATATGTGTCAGAACGTAATTACTAGAGTTGAGCGGACACCTGGATGTTCGGGTCCGGCGGGTTCGGCCGAACTTTGAAAAAAAGTCCAGGTTTGGCCTCGAACTTGACCCCGAACTTGACCCCGAACATGAACCCCATTGAAGTCAATGGGGACCCGAACCCCATTTTGGCCACAAAAATGCCTCTAGAAAACTCCTGGAAAGGGCTAGAGAGCTGCAAAGGGAAGTAAAATGGGGGTAAGAGTAGGACAAGTGCCCTGCAAACAAATGTGGATAGGGAAATCACTTAAAATAACATAAAATATCTAAAAATTAAAAATACAGCTGAGCCATAAAATACCACTAGATGGAATCTTTGATTTTAGCTTTAGAAGAACATAAATCAAAATCTAAAGAATGGCTGTCAGGAGGATCACCAGAATTATCCATTTGAGAGAGGGTTGGAGTGCAGGGTATTCTCTTTCATTGTTCAAACTGAGCTCAACTCCTGGTGCATGGAGAAAAGGCCTTCACAGGCCTCTGCTATTGTGTACATAGTTTATACTATAACCATAGTATTGAGGAGGTTGAGGAGGTTGAGGAGGTTGAGGAGGTTGAGGAGGCGGTGACTGTGTCGGTGTAGGTGAAAGCGGCGGTGGAGGAGGAGGAGGTAGCCAACACTGTTTTTTACATATATATATATTTTTTTTAATTGTGGTAGCCCGCAAAATATTGGGTCATACAAAAAAAATACATTTGCGGCCTGCGGTGCATTTCTTGCAGTCCTGATGCATGGAGAAATGCCCAACTGATGCATGAGGGAAAAGGCCTTCACAAGCCTCTGCCAATGTGTACATAGTTTATGCTAAGTGACCCATAGGTTTAGGAGGCGGTGACTGTGGCGGTGTAGGTGGAAGCAGAGGTGAAGGAAGAGGATGAGGTAGCCAACACTGTTTTTTATGTTTTTTTTTTATTGTGGTAGCCCACAAAATATTGGGACATACAAAAAAAGATACATTTCTTGCAGTCCTGATGCATGGAGAAACCTCCTCAAGGCCTTCACAAGCCTCTGCTAATGTGTACATAGTTTATACTAAGTGACCCATAGGTTGAGGAGGCGGTGAACGTGGCGGTGTAGGTGGAAGCAGCGGTGGAGGAGGAGGATGAGGTAGCCAACACTGTTTTTTACGTTTTTTTTTTTTTTTAATTGTGGTAGCCCACAAAATATCGGGACATATATAAAAAGACAACTTTGTTCCGCAGAGTAGCTGTTGATATTATAGTTGCGCAGGCACTTTGTTGACTCTAGAGTACCTCGGGACAATCGCACATCCCCGTGATGGCGACTTTGCATTTAGATGTCATCCATATCAACGTTCGATGCCAGTTTCTACGCCTACCATGGTGACCACGGGTAATGGGGAATCAGGGTTCCATTCCGTACAGGGACCCTGAGAAACGGCTAACACATGCAAGGAAGGCAGCAGACGCGCAAATTACCCACTCATGATGCTGAAAGGTAGTGACGACAAATAACAAAACAGGACTCTTTAGAGGCCCTGTAATTGTAATGAGTCCACTTGAAATCCTTTAACTAGGATCAATTGGAGGGATGTCTGGTGCAGAGGCACTGACCCGTGAGTCCTGCAGCTGAAACTCCACTATCGCCTGCTGCTGCTCACACAGTCTCATGAGGCGGTGAGCGGAAAGGCTGAAGTTACGCTGCAGCGCAGACAGGCAAGCAGCAGCAGGGTGAGAATGCCAAAAGCGCGCACAGCCGCTACAGTGAATGTCACATCCTGTTCCAAGTTGCGGCTCAGTCTGGTGATGGCTTCTGGTATCCAGTAGTCTTTTTACTGAAGCTGCATCAGGGTCCTGGTATGTGGCCACACAAACGCTGGTGCTCAACACCAGAGGGTGTGCGGTTACCCTGCACCAGACCCTGCTAATCCATTTCACACTTTGGCTCCTAACTTCAACATCAGGCATACTGGGTCCCGGTCGTCCGACCGCTGCCCAGACAATGTCTGGGTCCTGGTCACCGGACTGCCCACCTGACTGTGAAACTACGAATGGATCGTTAAATCTGGTACGAACCCGAACTTTGCAGTTCCTGTTCGCTCAACTCTATTATGGATCCTTTGATCGCTACATGTATTACTTGGATAACTGGTAATTCTCGAGCTAACACATGCTGACGAGCGCTAGGGAACGGCCGTTCCGCTTTTGCACCTTGCTCCCTCTTATGCTGTGCTGGTGCCTCTGTGCGACCAGCGCCTCTTCCTCCAAACTGCACACGTCACTCGCATGACCTTGATTCCATGTGGGGTCTAGGACCTCATCATCCTCCACATCATCTTCCACCCACTCCTCAACCCTGCCCTCCTTGCCGGTATGCACACTACAGAAAGCCACAGCAGTTGGCACCTGTGTTTTTCCAGCATGTAAAGTCTGCAAAGGACATATGGAAATTGTTTTAGAATTGTATCTAGGCAACAGTTTTCCCTATAAACTGACCTCTCAGTTTGACTTGTGAGGGTATTGCCCCAGAATTACAATATTTTGTAAGTACCTCTTAGCTATTGATAACTGGTTTAAATATAGCAGCTTGTTATCTAGTAGTTTCTAGCATAGAAAATATCAATCTGTTTTCTATCACTTAGATCTTTGTAACAAGCATAGGCGTGCGCAGCCTATTGCATTAGGGTGTGCACCCTAAAGCACAAACACACGCCGCGCGTGTGTGTGTGTGTGTATATATATATATATATATACACACACACACGCTCACAGACACACAGACACACACACTCACAGACACACACACACACACACTCACAGACAGACACACACACACTCATACACTCACAGACACACACACACTCACAGACACACACTCACACACTGACACACACACTCACAGACACACACACACTCACACTGACACATACTCACACACTCACAGAAACACACACTGACACATACTCACAGACACACACTCACACTGACACATACTCACACACTCACAGAAACACACACTGACACATACTCACACACTCACAGACACATACTCACACACTCACAGACACACACTACTCACACACTCACAGAAACACACACTGACACATACTCACACACTCACAGACTCACACTGACATACTCACACACTCACAGACACACACTCACACTGACACATACTCACACACTCACAGACACACACTCACACTGACACATACTCACACACTCACACTGACACATACACTCACACTGACACTCACACACTCACACTGACACATACTCACACACTCACAGACACACTGACACACAAATTATTATATTTTAATTTTAAAAAAAAAATGTCCACCCAGCCTCCTACCTGGAGTGCTGGTGGACTTTTCCCTGGGGTCCAGTGGGGGCGGGCGCCTTTCCGCAGTTCAGCGCGCGGCAAGGGAGCTCTCTGCTGTCTGCTCCCTCTCGCCGCGCGGGCTGCCTGCTGCAGCTGGGAGCCGGAATATGACGTCATATCCCGGCTCCCGGCATCAGCGCGCGGCGAGAGGGAGCAGAGAGCAGAGAGCAGAGAGCTCCCTTGCCGCGCGCTGAACTGCAGGGTGGGTGGAATCATCACCTCTTGCCCCCCCCATGACAGGGGCAAGAGGTGAAACAGGGGGCACTGAGTGCCTGCAGGAACGCTGTCCCTGCAGGACTCAAACCATAGGCGTGCCACGGGGATTAGGGTGTGCCCAGGCACACCCGGCACACCCCGTGCGCACGCCTATGGTAACAAGTGTTGTAGGTGTGAAACACTGTTACAAGTGACCGATGTAGTAAATTCGAATCAAAGTTATTAGACTATTAGATGCTTCTATTTGACTCTCAGATATGAAGAGCACGCCCAAAATTTAATATTTAGCAGTTTAGCAACAAAAGAATTAGAATGTTTACAATTGCGCTGTAACCGCAGTATTTGATGCTTCTATTTGACTCTCAGATATAAAGTGCAGGTCGCAAAATGTACTATTTAGCAGTTTAGTGCCCAGAAAATTAGAATTTTTACAACTGCGCTGTAAGCACACTATTAGACGCTTCTATTTGACTCTCAAATATGAAGAGCACGCCCAAAATGTACTATTTTGCAGTTTAGCAGCAAAACAATTAGAATGTTTACAATTGCGCTGTAACCGCAGTATTTGACGCTTCTATTTGACTCTCAGATATGAAGTGCAGGCCGCAAATTATACTATTTAGCAGATTAGAACCCATAAAATTTGAGTTTTTACCACTGCGCTGTAAGCACACTATTAGATGCTTCTATTTGACTCTCAGATATGAAGTGCACACCCCAAAATGTACTATTTAGCAGATTAGCACCCAGAAAATAAGAATGTTTACAATTACGATGTAACCGCAGTATTTGATGCTTCTATTTGACTCTCAGATATAAAGTGCAGGTCGCAAAATTTACTATTTAGCAGTTTAGCACCCAGAAAATTAGAATTTTTACAACTGCGCTGTAAGCACACTATTAGATGCTTCTATTTGACTCTCAGATATGAAGAGCACGCCCAAAATGTAATATTTAGCAGTTTAGCAACAAAAGAATTAGAATGTTTACAATTGCGCTGTAACCGCAGTATTTGATGCTTTTATTTGACTCTCAGATATAAAGTGCAGGTCGCAAAATGTACTATTTAGCAGTTTAGCGCCCAGAAAATTAGAAAATTATTTATTATTTTTCATATTTATTTTTATTTTTATGAAGACTTTTTAAGTTTTTCCTTTTTCTTTTCTTCTTTTGTGAGTTCATGTGCATCCTATTATTAGAAGTTCCATTGACTTTTCGATTCGAAGTGGAACGCATTTGCGTTCCAAAGAGAGTGATTTTTCTTTCCGGACCTGTGACAACTTCCGGTGGCGCCCGGAAATGACGTAACTCAAGCGCTCCGAATGTGGACCGGTGGTCTTTTCCGGCACTACTGAGAGTGAGGCTTGGGACGCAAGTGCTTTCAAGAAGCGCGAAAAGGGAACGGAACGAGATAGAAGAAATTACTTTAAGGTGGACTTAATTAGAAGTTTTGTTTTGTGATTGGTTAAAGGTTTTTTCATGGCAGGGTATTTAAATTTAATTGTATGTGTATTGTGTATTGTTGCCACGAGCCCCTGACGAAGTCTTCTAGACGAAACGCGTAGGGTGGCAAGCTTTATTTCACGACTTGTAAATTCTTTTATTTTGGACTCTTTTTCATTCATTTTGTCTCCTTCCTTTGGCGTTTAACTTGTTCTGGATGGCAGACAGCGGATGTGATTTGAATTGATGAGCCCTTTTACTCCTTTTATTTTGTAAGTGCATATAATAAAGCAATTTTTCGAATACCATACAGCTATACACTATGTTTTTTTTCTGTGCTTTGTTCTAAGTATTCATCTTTACACACAAGAAAAAGAAGAAGCACTTGAAGAAGACTGATTATACCCTGCCTTTTTACTTCTATGTTTGTGAGTGTTTTATAGTTCCCCTTTTTATAGTATTTAGTTTTTTTTTGTCTGCACTATTGGTCTCCCTTTGTATTTTTAGGTCGTGCTTTTTATGGTTTTATGTTTAATATATTGAAGACATTAGAGGAGTCTTCGGACTTCCAATTGCTGGGTATTTATATAATATTTATATTTTGCCTTTTTTAGCCACAGAGGGTTTTTTGCATATTTGGTGCAAATCACATTTGTTTTGACTCTCAGATATGAAGTGCACCCCACTAAAATACTATTTAGCAGTTTAGCACCCAAAAAAATTTAAGTTTTAAAACTGCAACGTGACAGCAGTATTTGATGCTTCTATTTGACTCTCAGATATGAAGTGCACCCCACAAGTGCACCCCACATGCCTTCTAATATGTCACGTTTAAGGTTTTGTGGAATGAGATTAATAATATTAATACTTTTAGCGGGTGAGGGAAGAAGCAAGAGTTACCTCCTGAGTTTGGTTCTGGCGGAGCTACGGGAATTTGAACATCCAGATCATTCAATCGGTTTTCTAAGTCTGTACCTGTACATTAGGCTCAGTCCGTAAGGGGTTAAAAAACACCTCTTGATATGTTCATTATGAGAGACTAAGCTGCATATTTCTCCACTAAAAAACAGCCTATTATCCACTCCATTCCCTTTTTTTGATCCCAGGAAAGGGACTTGTGAAATTCTGAAAGATTCTAGCACGGGCAGCTTGGAAATCACCAAAAATTATCAGATCGATGCAAATTTCAGCCCAAAATGAATCTCTAAGTCAAGTGGTTAATCTTTATCAGTTTATTAAAATTATATTCTTATCATATCTGATATTCATTGACATACAAAGCACTTGATTCATTTTAAAAGCAAACTAGAATCTATTTTTGTTGCAATATAAAGTACCATGCTTTGCTCTTTATTCCACAGTGTTGCTAGCAAAGTAATTCACTCCAGGGAACCTCTGTTTAGCCATTCATCTACTCTAAGAAGTATTGGTTTACAATAACTGGAAGCATTTCAGCTAATA